GGGCTCGCCGCCCTCCCTGCAGCGCTCCGGCCGGTCAGGGAGAGCGGGGCCGCGGCCGGGCTCGCTGCCCTCTCCGCGGCGCTCCAGCAGGTCAGGGAGAGCGGGGCCGTGGCCGGGCTCTCCGTCCTCCTCCCAACGCTCCGGCCGGCCGGGGAGAGCGGGGCCGCGGCCAGACTCGGCCCCCTCCCCCCACCCCCCGTATAACTGCGTTGCTTGGGGTGTGGATTTTCCACACTTCTGAGCAACAGTTATACCAACATAGGTTGCTAGTGTAGACCAAGCCTCACACACAGTAGCACTGCTCACCAACACATACACACACGGCCCACCCCTTCTCACCTAACTGTTCTAGAAGGAAGAGGAGAGTTAATACCCTGTGGCCATTCAATTCTTCTTCTCTCTGCTGAAACAGCTAACTAGGTTGCCAGCAAATTAGTGCCAGTTATGGATATTTTCCCAGGGGATCCAACAAACACCCAACAGCCTTCAGATGATACCTTTCAATCCTGGGCTGGATTTGAACCAGCCACTTGGAGAAGAGAGTAATTATAGCTCATTTCTAATTCCTCAAGCAATCCAACTCTCTGAGTATACGCTGGATATTTCTGAAAGAAAAATCGCTGGATAGGTTTTAAGATTACATCATTAAAAGGCAGAATAATTTTTTCCTTTTCAAAAAACCTAATATCACCCTTAATGAAATATGAAGAGTAAAATGACCCATCCTGGTATCTTAGTATATTACTGAGAAACACTAAGAAATTCTAGGGATTCTTCAAATTAGCAAAACCTTACTTCAGAGCATATATGAGGTGACAAGCTGCCCATCCTAATAAAGGAAAAGGTTCCAGTTTGGGGTAATTACTCTATTTTTGTGTAATTAATTTTTTAACTTGACAGTACCCCAAAGGAGCTGATAAATTCCATTAGCTTGAAATGGAGAATTATGGGTTTGTGACACAAAGACTAATGCTTCCAACCACAAAGTGGTTTATGTGCCACTTTGTTTATAGCTATACCTGTCATGTGTGAAGAAAAGTATCTTTGCCAATGGCTGAGTATCAAAACATGCAAGAGATTTTTGCGTAGTCCAAAATGATGTTATAAAATTTCCCATTGTATAGAGATGATCTCAGTGGAGGCCTTAAAGATAGTATACATAACACTAATCCATTTTAGGTTGGAAGAAAGCAAAACCAAAATAAAATAAGGGTTTGAATGTAAAATCAAACAGCAGTTGAGCAGCAGTGGATAAAACTTTCAAAAAAGACAGTCTCATTGAAAGACAATTGGACTTAGGTTCCTAAGTACCTAAATCAGTTTTGAAAATGTGGCATAGGCTCCTAAGACATTTGGGCACTGTTAAAAAATTGACCAAATGTCAATAAAAACAATTTCTGTTTTGCTTTAAACTGTGAGAAGCAACATACATTTTTTTTTTAAATCCTCTTAAATTATTTGTTGGGTTGCACCCGTTAATAAGTTTGGTCTAACAGATTGCTATAAGGGATCAAGTTTCCTAACTTCGCAGCCAGTGGTCAGTTATTAATGATCTAGTAATATATTATGACCATCCTTCTCTCTGTGCCTTCTAAACTTCCTCTCAACATCCATCCATTCAACATCCTTCCAGGTCATCTTGGTATAACGATTATTTGTGGAGGTGGAATGTGTGTCAAAGAGATGAGCGTGCCAGTGGTGATTAATGTTTTCACAGGCTAAGTAATTGCTGCGTTTTTAAAACTGACTATTGTGGAAGAAAAGAAAACCCTTTCAGTGGAACTGTTGCAAGTGGTGGATAGTCTGGTCAACGCAGGCTGCTGCCACCTAGAAAGAGGTTTGAAAATGGGAATGTGTTTTCATTATAAAAATGTACAGTGCCTAACAGCGGGCCCCTGATCCCAGACTGTGGCCTCTAGGTACTACTACAATACAAAATAATTTCCTTGTAGAGGAATTTTCTTTCTTCAATAATAAGACGGATTGGATGCTTGTACTTGTACTGGATTGGATGCTAATGTGGGGCCAGATCTATGTCCAGAAGAGTCAAATCCCATGGGCCTGATTCCTCATTACCTGGCATTTTGTATAGTCATTTATACCAGTGCAAAGTGGATGTAAAATGCTGCCATTCTCCTTTAGTAGCGCTTTACCCGTTTTACAACTGCCCTTGCTCAGCGAGTCTGCTTCATCTCCCTGCCAGCTCATTACCTCCTTATAATGCCGTCTGTACCTAAAAAATCTTCATGAGGAAGTCTCACTCTTCCCTCACCTCTAGGAATCTTCCAGGAACCAGCAAAGAAGGGGGTGCTGCTAGTAGAGACAGAAGAGACATGCCAAAAATATTGTTTAATAAAATCTGAACACGCAAAAAGTATAAAATTAAACAGAGGGACAAGGTGGGTGAGGCAATATCTTTTATTGGACTACTTCTGTTCGTAAGAGAGAAGAGTTTCTGTGTAAGCTCCAAAGCTTGTTTCTCTCAGCAGCAGAAGTTGGTCCAATAAAAGATCTTACCTCACCCACCTTGTTTCTTTAATATCCTGGGGCTGACACGGCTACAACAATACTGCATACAATAATAGCAGACCCAGTGCATTGTTGTGCTCAGTGCTTTAGGGATTTGACAGCTACGTGCATGTGTCCCACACACAGACACATGAACACAATCTCAATTGTCCTGCTGGTGGGGAAGGGGAGAAAGAGAGACTGAAGCAAGTAAGGTATGTCTTAAAAACTATTAAAGGTAAATTAAAATAAAGCTCCAGAATAAAACTGTGGAAAGGAACCAAAGGAATACTGTATATCTTAAGCTAAAACAAGTAGGCAGTGTCTCTTTAAATACTAAAACTTAGACATCAAACAAAATTAAGGATGGAATAATAGTAAATTTTGTGTACCATTAACATAAGTAATAAGTTTCATTGTTTCATTAGTGCTTCTCTCACAGGCATAGCAGAAGGAACATTTTACCTTAATAGACAATAACCGGAATGCATTAGTGTCCTCACATAAGGTCACTGATAAAACAAGAGACCATGGCCTAGTAGGATGAGAGGAGAGGAAAGTTCCATACTCCTCACAGAGCAGAATTGAAACAGGTTCAAGTCAAACATCTCATCTGAGATCTAAAAATGTGATCCTCTGTTTTGTGAAGGAAAGGTTTTGATACTACATCTTCTTTTTAGGTTATTTTTCTTTTTATCTAGATATTTACTTATGCTTTAAAATCATGATACCAGGTCCTTGCCTGAAACAGGGGGTGTAATTGGAGAACTAGTGTGCTGTACTGCAACAATATACTATGCTTAAATAGCTGTCAGATTTGTCACATTTGGAAGCCATAGACTTGAGACTATATCCTGGTTAAAATCCATTTGAAAGGATTAAACCTTTCCAGACCATATCATAATTTTTTTTAAGTTTAGAGGAAAATTTTCCAGTACTGCTCCAAGGTCTGCTCATGCTGTACAGACTGTCCCCAGATTACATGGAATAAGGCCATAATGACAATTTTACAGCTAGTCTGTTCTTTTGAAGGTGGAATTAAATAATGTCTAGGTAGGTGGTTCAGAATATGGCTTATATAGGGAAATTCCTGTCTCATTTCCATCTAGCAAGGTCAGATGTTTAAACAAAAATATCAGTGTTTGTGCCAAAGGAGCCCCTGAATGTAAAAGATTAGATTCGTTCCTCAATTTAGTAGTTGTATAATACATAGGAGCCTATAACAGGCTTATACAAATGAAAATGAAAATGAAACTGCTATTATAGTTCATTAATACTATATGGAATAGAAAGGGTCATTTTAGTTGTTGGGTGCCGAGTAACTTTATTTTTAAAATGACTAAAAATATTTAGTTTTGAGAAATAGAAAATGGGAGGGCAACTCTTATTAATTGTTCCTCGTACTGCCAACTCAGAGGTGTGACTCCCATTAGTTTAGCCACAGAGGTTCTTCTACATACACCTCTACCCCGATATAACGCTGTCCTCAGGAGCCAAAAAATCTTACCGCATTATAGGTGAAACCACGTTGTATCGAACTTGCTTTGATCCGCCGGAGTGCGCAGCCCCCCCCCCCCCCGGAGCGCTGCTTTACCGCGTTATATCCGAATTTGTGTTATATCGGGGCGCGTTATATTGGGGTAGAGGTGTACCTTAAGGGAAACCATGATTACAGCCAAGCAAAATAATCATAGTTATTAACACTGGCTATTTTATTATTAAAGAAAGGAAAAGAAAACATCAAACAAAACAATACGGCACAAATGATAAACTGGTTATGTCTGTTACAATCTCTTCTGTATGCCTGTCTGTGGAGAGCTTTTAGCAGAGATGACACCTTTGAGAGTGGGCTGCCTCTGAGGACTTTTCTTTAGTAAGTGAAGACGAACGTATATTTAGGCTTGACAGAATTCAATTTTAATTTTTTTTATCATTTTGATGGATGAGATCAATGTTTAATTTTAAGTTTTTTATTTTTATCAATTTAAATTTTCACAGTTGCGAGAAATTATGGAGTGGTCAAGCAATAGCGGGGAGTCAGACAATAATTATGTAAGGGCAGTAGACATTGAAATTCAAAAAGTTAAAGCATTAGAACTTAAAACACAAATTGTCAGCTGCTCATGTCAAAATATATAGTGTAAGTATCCTTAAATCAAGCTCTAATAAGTTCTCAAGTAGCATTTTTCTCCCTTTGCCGATCTGTAAATTTTGATTACTGTAGATAGAAATATTTTTTCATTGGGTTGTGTGTGTACCATGAAATTGATATTTACCAGTGTTTACGGATAAATCTAATCCTTCTAAGCCTAAGTATATTGCTTCTGAAATTTATTGTGAGCCCAATTTAGTATCTCATAGATACTTAAGCTGTTTATAATTGGGCAACAGAACTTGTTAAAGGGCAGATGGCTCCTGTCGGTTATTATTAATAATCAAGTAGTTTATAACAGGGCAAAGTAAACAATCTAACTAAATCCTATGAAATGGAAGAAAATATTGAAATAGAAGGAGCCACTTAAGGAGCTTTCTTAAGTCAGGCCAATTACAAATATTAAGAATCTTAAATCCAATTAAATCCCACTATTTTGCTGTTTACCAGTATTTAGTCCCATCTCCTTTTCAAGAATACATGGTCTAACCATTGGTGATTAACAGGAGAAACTGTTGTCATCTTAAAAACAACAGGATTTCCATATCCCAGTAAAATCATTACTAGAGTTTAAATCTAATCGTTGGCAGTGCCTTAGTTAACTTCTCTCACCAATCCATGTTGAAGTCTTGGGGTGGTTTCCTATGGCTGTTTTTTTCTTGAGTCTTCTCTGTTTTTCTTATTTCTCTGTGGCAGCCTGCTTGAAAAGTTTGACAGGATAAGTTGATGAGTGCTTGCTGTTAAGCAGAGTAGCAGAGGGTGTATGAGTGAGAGGGATGCTCACTTCTGAGGTTTTTTTATATTCTTCTCTTTCCTATTTCCATGAAATGATTAGAAAATGCACAGATTTCGGGCTTGTTTAGGTTCAGATTGGCTTAGTACCTCTATGGGTTGCCCTTAGGAGCCTCTTCATCTTATGAATATGTAGTTTGTTCATGTATCAGAGGGGTAGCCGTGTTAGTCTGAATCTGTAAAAAGCAACAGAGGGTCCTGTGGCACCTTTGAGACTAACAGAAGTACTGGGAGCATAAGCTTTCGTGGGTAAGAACCTCACTTCTTGCATCTGAAGAAGAGAGGGTCTTACCCACGAAAGC